TTGGCCTCCTTGATCAAGAGGTCAGATGACCCACCACCATTACAGGACATTTTGTGAGATGCTCATGATCCCTGGGAACTAATCGACCTAGGAGGGCAAGGAGCAAAAAGTGTCCTTTGTGGCCCTCTGACCCAATTAGTATAGATCTCAAGGTATGTCTGTTAAACATCCAAGAAGTTTAGTTCCACGGCATGTATTTTTAAAGGAGTTAATGTAGCTTGCATCTTCCCATTCTTCTGTGCCTCTGCTTGCTTCATTGCTCTTCAAGCCAGAGCTGAGCGTGTGAGCAATCAGGTAAGCAAGCTCCTGAGATTTTGGAACACACCTTCATTGCCAGAGTTAACTGTTTTAGAGGGTGCTGCTTCCTAGTAGGATCGGTATCAGTCTTTGGGTATGGTTTACTGTTGTGGACTGCCTAAAGGTATCAAACTTTCACAGTCCAGTTTGTTGGTACGAGCAAGGATGAGAGAGCAGAGGACTCCAGGGACTCTGTCCAGTCTTAACCCAGCGAGAGGACCAAAGACTGCCCACACCTTTCTCCAAACTAGAAAGTGCAGGCCAAAGACAAGCTTAACAAGGAAAGAGGCTCCTCTGCCTCCTTTGGCTGTTGTCTCTTGAGACTTGGGACTCGCTCTGGTGGGCTGGTGTGACCCGTGCTTTCTTAGTCTTGAAGTGAGTACGAATTAGTGTGAAGAACTTCTTTGGGCCACTACCACAGACCTGCCCCACCCTCTTTGCTGGCTGGCCCCAGCACAGCTTAGGGTCTTCCTCCAGGTGGGCCTGGTGTGGACCAGGGCATTCCCAGGTCCCCTGGTAAAAGACCATTCAAGACCAACAATCCTAAACCATTTGTATTGCTAAAGGTGAGTTTAATACTGTCTGGAGGTGATTCTGGGGCTCCAAGTGTTTCAGGGGTTCTGTGAGGGGAGCTCTTGCGATGCAAGGCTGGCCTCCACTACTGCCCCTCCCAGCTGCCTGCCTTCCTGTGCTTTACATACTGGGACCCTAAGATTCCTCTGCAAGAGAGGACTCTATCACTTTTAGAAGACCATGAAAACTACCATTTCTAGCCAGTTTCACACACAGATTGTCTCCACAATGTCACATGAGTCGTGACTGTCAGATATTAGAACCCAGTAGAGGCACTTCAGTGTAGGGGTGGAGTCAACTACCTCCCCTGACATCTTGGCTTCTCTCTGCTCACAATGAACCCAGTGTCAGAAAACCCAAAGGTAGGCACATCCAGTCTAGTCTCCTATTCTATACACTCGTTGATAACAGCCAGCACCTCAGGGACACGCACTCTTCTGAAGGGGCAAGGTGACCACTTCCCCCAACATCTACCTGCCTTAGTCAGTGCCCTCCACCCCCACTGACACAAAGACATTTACCTGAAAGGAAGTCATGAAAACAATTGAGAACAGTGGCTCCTGGTGGGATCCAGGTAGCAGGGATCTCTTCTGGCTTAGGTGAGCCTAAGACCACAATATCAGCCTCTTGAAGCTAAAAGGAAAACAAAGAGAAAGACACATTAGTCTGTAGCATAAAGGCATGACCAACTACTGATGTCAGATAACTCTAAAATAGCAACAACAATCAAAGGTCCTGAGTTTGCTTCCAAACTGTGGCTATGGACCGAGTTGCTCAACCAATTCCTTTCAAGCATATTTTAATCCACATAGAACATGACTAAACAAACCCACATAAAGACAGGTGTGGTAGTGCATCTGTAATCCCAGTGCTCCCAGTGGAGACAGGAGAGTTCCCAGAAACTGGTGAGCCTGTTAACCTGGGCATGAGCTGTCTCAAGTAAGTCAGAAGGTGAGGCAGACCCCAGAGGCTGTCCTCTGAGCTCCACATGCTTACTGTCCTCAGTGTACACACACACACACACACACACACACACACACACACACACACACACACACATTTTTTAAAAGAATGAAGAGAGATAGCTAGCCCCATTCCTCCTCTGTACTGCAGGACCATGGCACAGTTAAGCTGGAGCAGGAAGTGTTGAGCCGAGAGCCCCAGCAATCTGGATGGTTCAAGTCGCACAAAATCTCTATACGCAGATCTGAAAAGCACTAGACCTGTGGGTGATGTTATGTTTAGGGGAAGAAGTGTTCTGGTGGAAAGAGCACTGTAAACATCTGTTTCAGAAAACCATTTCTCATTTACATTCTTAAATGGAAGCCATAAATTCAACCACAGCAATCCACAAAGGAAATGTAAATGTTTAAGGCTACAGAGCAGCAGATAGGAAACATCATCTTGCCTGATTTCCTGAATAGCAGTGAAATCAGGACACCTTAAAGCATCTGTTAAAAGGAAGTCTATGTGAACAATGCTGAAATGTTCATTTTGGAAAAAGCCAGGCACCACAGGTTCACACGAGTCCCCTAAGAACACTTAGGTTCCTACATACAGTCCCTTTGAAACAACATGCTCTTATTACCTAGAAATCTTGAGATTCTTGTTCCGGCCCCCGACTACACATACCTTCATACAGCTCTAAAGTGGGCCATGCTAATAAGCAACTGGGGGACAGTTAATTTCGTAAAGAAAAGACAAAACCTTCCTCCCTTGGCACCAATCGCAGTGTGGATGCTAATTCTTTCTGGAAAGAAAAAGTACTAGATGCTTAGATCAGTAAATAAGTCATCAAGGATGGGGGGGACTTTAATGAGCTCAAATTCAAGGAGAATTATCATCTCGCTGGCTGTTTCTGCTTCCCTCTTACCACATGGGAAAGGAACTGGCCAGAGCTTGGCTTGAAACTTTACCTCATAACAAAATATTGCTTTCTCCACAGAGACTGGAGTAGTGGAGCTTAAAGCGAACCACCCACTCCCCAGGCAGAGGACCAAATGTTAAAACAATACAAAGATACAGATACATGGACATTAATGCAGAGCACGTGGGCTGCAGTGGGGTTTAGATAACATGAAAACTATTCTCCAAGCCAAGCATCTGAATACAGAGAAGGAAGAGGACAGATAGGATTTGGAAAGTTACACGAGATTTTGTGCTTTTGTATTTAGCACATGTCATCCATTTAAAAAGATTTTTGACTTGAGCAAGGGTGACTTTGCCTTCTTGGCTAAAGGAGACACATTACCTCCTTGCAGCAATGTGTTTTGAAAAGGCACAAACATAGGCCTTGGGTTTGTGGTTTTTATATACGTCAAAAGCTGAAACAAGCAGAGGAAAAAAAGAGTTAATGGGCTGGCAAGATGGCTCAGCTGGTAAAGGTACTGACACCAAGCCTAAAGACCTGAGTTCAGTCCCCAAGTGGAAGGAGAGAACTGACTCTTGCAAGTTGTCCTCTGACCTCCCACATGTGGGCTGTGGAAATGTGTGCCCACACAAGTACACAAAACCAATGAACAAAAATGTAATTTATATATATTAGATATTTTATTTATTATTTTTATGTGAATGTATTGCCTGCATGTGTAAGCACACCTGTGTCCACAGAGGTCAGGAGAGGGAGTAGGATCCCCTGGAACTGGAGTTATGGATGGTTACTAGCTGCCATGTGGGTGCTGGGAACCAAACCTGGGTTCTCTGAAAGAGCAGCCAGTGCTCTTATCCACTGAGCCATCTCTCCGGTCCACAAAAATGTAATTAAAAAGCAATTTTTAGGCTAAAATTTTATTTTGAGGCTACAGAGATGGCTCAGCAATTAAGAACACTGGCTGTTCTTGCACAAGACCTGTGTTCTAAGCCCAGCACCCATATGGTGGCTAGCAACCATCTGTAACTCCAGTTCTAGGGGATCTGACACCCACTTTTGTCCTCCAAGGGTACTGCATGACACGGGTGCACTTATATACATGCAGGCATAACACTTATACACATAAAATAAAAATTAAAAAACTAAAAAAATTATTTTGAAGTGGTTTCTATTACTGGAGACCCAAGAAGCCGCTTTGACATGTTGAGTAGTAACAACAGTGTTTGCCCCAGCAAAGATGTACTTTTCAAATTAATAGTAAATAATGACACTAAATGAAAAATCCTCATTTGCCTTCGATTGCTTGAGGCAGCTGAGGGTGTGAAGATTAAAATCCAGCTCCTGAGGAGGGGGCGTTAGAGCTGAGGTATTCAAGATGGGTTAGTCACAGGCAAACCTTTGAGCTATGAGGAAAAACAGCAAGCACTCAATATCTACCCCACCCCCGGCACGTGTTAGAATATAAGTTCTACGAGTATTTACATAGGTAATTTATTTGGCAGTATTTGTTATGTTTTTTATAGTACTATCGATTTTATACTACAATATGTGGACAGACATTAGCATTCTTGTCAGCCCTTAGGTATTAGCTGATCAAATGTCACACAATAGAACAAAGGGGTCCTGAGAGAAGGACGAGGATCCACCACACTTGCTTGATCTTTAACTTCTAGCAAACAGGCACACGCTGGTTTATGTGAGCAAGGCTTGGTGGTTTGACAGATCCTATTAAGTTCTATCACCGATTCTTTGTAATGGTCTGTAAGGAGACAGAAGTGTCCATGACAACCCTATGTACCATGGAGGTCCCTGACTATCTCTTGGTGTGGTCTAAAAAGAATTCGATTCTTTTCTTTTTTAGAGGGCATCATTTTTCTTTTATAAAATGTCAGCATTTCTAAATTTGCTTATGTTTTCATAACAGACAGTGGTGGTCAGAATGGTCTGCTGTCTGAGGTTTCTTTCAGGAAGATTCCTCTGGAGGCAGGATTAGGGTGGGCAGAGGGAGAGGGAAAGTGTGGAACAGGCATCTGAGGTGATGAGATGCACAGGTCTAAAACAGGATGGGGAAGCGGGCGGGGAGTCAGCTGGTACCTGCCCACATACAGAGCGAAGGTAAAACCAGAAGCTTGAATGAGATTCTTCAAGTTCATCTTTGGGGAACACTGATCTCAATCAGCGAGGCAAGAACAAAAAATGGAAACCAAGTGTGGAAGAGGAATTAGGAAGAAAGGGCCTACTCCTGCAGGGTAAAGGAAAAGAATGCAGTTGCATGCCCCACCCCACCCTCTCCCAGTGGTCAAACAAGCTAGAAGCCAAAAATACATTCTTGGCAACAAGAACTGATGGGTAACTTTCCCACAGTAACTATACCTGGCCGTTTTCACACTGCATGTAAACCAGCATGTGCTGCCTGCACAGGGGAGTTCTTCCCATGAAATGTTTCATTAGCACAGTCTCTGTTTATTCCTAAGTGTATTATTTTTAAAAACATTCATTTTATTTTTATGTGTATGGCCTGCATGTAAGTAGGAGCACCTGTGTCATTCAATGCCTATGGAGGTCAGAAGAGGGTGTTGGATTCCCCTGGAACTAGAGTTTTGAGATGGTTGTTAGCCACTATCTGGATGTTGGGATTCGAACCCAGGTCCTCTGCAAGAGCAGCCAGTGCTCTTAACCACTAAGCCATCTCTCCAGCCCCTATTCATAAGTTTTTTAAACTTAGAATGCCATAGCTATGATAGGATTATTGCTCTGCATCTATGATCAGCCCCTACATTTTTGCTAGTGAAACAGTACAAGAGCTGTAAGGGGACTAAGTATCAGGCCATCCAGATGTTTTCATTCAGATGTTGTAATACTTTGGCAAGATAAGAGGATGAGAGTCGTAGCAAAAGGTATTTCCCCCTCTCCATGCCCACCCAGTGATCTCACCCTCGGAGAATTTTTTTCCTTTCAGGAATTGAGTGTATTCCTTTTTTCTACTCTCATTTGTGATCAGAAAAACAGATTATTGGCTTTTAAAATTGTAAGACTTCTCTTTGGGTCATTTCATAAATCAGAATTAACTGCAAGCCAAATGGACAACTGAGAATTGTGATTACAACATATATCTACCAAATCCCCACCCCAAGGGATAATAAATGACCTTCTTCTTTCTAAATGGCCCCAAGTTCAATTGTTACTTCATCCTTCTATGGCTCAATGTATAAGACTATTCCATTCTGTCCAAAATACTAGAAAAGACAGTCAATCCCCTTTCAAGTGAGTTTTATATACCCAGAAGTGAGGACACATAAGTCAGTTGGCATTGTGTGTGCCCAGCATGCAGGACACCCTAGCTAGGTTCAATACTCATCAGCATACAAAATCAGGAGTGGTAGCACACGCCTGTAATTCCAGCATAGGCAGGAGGATCAGGAGATCAAGTCATCCCTGGCTACACAGCAAGCTTAAGGCCAGCCTGAGCAACATGAGACCTTATCTAACACACATGCATGCATACACGCATGCACCACCACCGCCGCCACAGCCACCACCACCACCACCGCACCCCCCTAAAAGTTAGGAGATAAAAGGGAAACACGTCAAATCTAGTAATGGATACACTTTGAAGCATCATAAAAAACAAAACAAACTTTCTTAAAACTCTTGAGAAAAAAATTATAGGTGAGGGAGGGAGGAGGGAAGGGAGGGAGAGAGAGAGATTGATTTGTGGTGAGATTTTCTTTATATGACAGACTGAGAATCTTGAGCAGACACA